GATGAGTCATGTGCCTCTGGCTCCTGTTTTGATTTCAGTTACTGTACCTTATGGCGTGGTCTGTCTCTACAGGTGTTGCATGATCAAGAGTAATATTCTAGGGTACTTGAACTGCATGTGCCTAGGGTTTCCTTCCCTAGGTACCCTGTAAGTACTGCCCTTGGGGCTTGGGGGCCACCTTCCACAAGTCACCTTGGGGCCTACCTCTTCTGTGTCTTTTACTGCTCGGTACTTGGTAGCCCTTGGAGTCAGCCGGGGTTTTTGTTGCCCTTGTTTGCCTCTGGATATGAGGTAGTTTTCGTCGAGGCAAACTACTGAGGCCAACAAGGAAGCAAGCACTACGAGCCGACACGTGAGACACGAAGCAAAAAACAGCGACACCAGCTCCAGCAGGGCAGAACGACGCATGTGCAGCAGAGTAACAGATGAGGAGAACTACCCAGGACATGCACCGCACTAAATAAAAAATGTACTGTCCAGCAAAGGAACAAGGAAAAGGACATAGCCAGGGCCGTAATCCTAGCTCTTCCTGTCTCAACGAAAAGGAACTGTAGGGGCAGGAGTGGTTGATTGGAACCTACAGCCACCAACAGATATTGCAACACAAGCTGGTAGTGACATACAAGAAGATGAAAGAACTCAGTTCTATAACTGAACAGTGGGGCTGTCCAATCGCAGGGAACTGAACATGCACACAGTACAACCTAGTACCAACACTAGTATAGCCAATAAGCACATGCTAAGACACACAACAAGTTTCACAACTTTTGTTAGACCAAAACTGGAATATGCAGTGGTTGAATGGTGCCCCATATCTTAAGAAGCACATCAACAAACTGGAAAAGGTGCAAATACATGCCACTAAGTGGTTCCAGAACTGAAGGACAAGAGCTACGAGGAGAGGTTAGAGGCATTAAATATGCAAAAACTAAAAGATAGAAGAAAAAGAGGCGATATGATCACTATGTACAAAATAGTAACAGGAACCAATAAAATTGATAGGAAAGAATTCCAGAGACCCGGAACTTCAAGAACAAGAGGTCATAGATTTAAACTAACAAAACAAAGCTGCCAGAGAAAAGTAAGAAAATTCACTTTTGTAAACAGAGTGGTAGACGGTTGGAACAAGTTAGGTGAGAAGGTGGTGGAGGCCAAAACCGTCAGTAATTTTACAATGTTACATGACAGAGTACTGGGAAGATGGGACACCATGAGCGTAGCTCTCATCTGTAACTACACTTAGGTAATTATTTAGGTAATTACAACAATGTGTAGTATAGAGGTAGGAAATACAGAAACATGCAATGAAAAGACCCTAAATATAGCCCAAGCACTGGTAGCTAGGGACAAGAGAATATAATCAAGATGATGAACGAATAAGACCGAGGAAGCAAGTGGTAACAGAATGTACATGATCAAGTATACACATACACACAGTCCAATGTACTGTCTCCACTCGATTATCCGGACTATATGGGAAGGACCCCCAGCCGGATAATCACGTTTTCCGGATCAGGGTACTTTTTTACCTCTTGAGTCCAAACGGGACCATTTCCAACAATTTTTATACCACTCATGATTTGAATTGATACACACTAATTAGTGTGGGGCTTGGGGGGGTGGTTAGCTGCCTAGCTGGTAGGTGGGCAGGGAAAGTGGATGGGCAGGCAGGCAGGGATAGGTGGGTTTTGGATGGGTGGCTGGCAGGGATAGGTGGGTTTTGGATGGGTGGCTGGCAGGCAGATAGGCTTGGTGGGTGAACAGGTTCGAGCAGGCAAGTGGGTGGGTGGGTGAACAAGCAGGTGGGTGAACAGGGTGGGTGGGTGGATTGGCAAGTGGCTAAGTGGGCGTGCAGGCAGGTGGGGAGCGAGTTAACAAGTGGGTGGGTGGGCGAGCAGGTAGGTGGGTGGGCGAACAGGAAGGTAGGTGGGTGGGCGAACAGGAAGGTAGGTGGGTGGGCGAACTGGAAGGTAGGTGGGTGGGCGAACAGGAAGGTGGGTGGGCGAACAGGAAGGTGGGTGGGCGAACAGGAAGGTGGGTGGGTGGGCGAACAGGAAGGTGGGTGGGTGGGCGAACAGGAAGGTGGGTGGGTGGGCGAACAGGAAGGTGGGTGGGTGGGCGAACAGAAAGGTGGGTGGGTGGGCGAACAGAAAGGTGGGTGGGTGGGCGAACAGAAAGGTGGGTGGGTGGGCAAACAGGAAGGTGGGTGGGCGAACAGGAAGGTGGGTGGGCGAACAGGAAGGTGGGTGGGCGAACAGGAAGGTGGGTGGGCGAACAGGAAGGTGGGTGGGCGAACAGGAAGGTGGGTGGGCGAACAGGAAGGTGGGTGGGCATGCAGGCAAGTGGGTAGGTGGGCATGCAGGCAAGTGGGCCGGTGGGCATGCAGGCAAGTGGGCCGGTGGGCATGCAGGCAAGTGGGCCGGTGGGCATGCAGGCAAGTGGGCCGGTGGGCATGCAGGCAAGTGGGCCGGTGGGCATGCAGGCAAGTGGGCCGGTGGGCATGCAGGCAAGTGGGCCGGTGGGCATGCAGGCAAGTGGGCCGGTGGGCATGCAGGCAAGTGGGCCGGTGGGCATGCAGGCAAGTGGGCCGGTGGGCATGCAGGCAAGTGGGCCGGTGGGCATGCGGGCAGCTGGGTGAACAAGTGGGTGGGTGGGTGGGCGAGACTGGACAGAGACAGATCACACGTGTGATCTCCTGCCTGGTCACCCCCTCCCCACACCTCACGCTGGCCTTTCCATCTTCCCTCCACGTGTGTCGATACGTGGGTGTTGACACGCTGTACGATGACTTAACATATGTGCCTTAAGTTTTGTTAAATCCCTTTTTATTTTCTTGTAAATATTTAAATGAATAAATAGGAAACCAAATACTGTACTGTACTGTTCAACTACAGTATTACGGTGTGTTATTTAATTAATATTCGTAACTAGCTCTCCACAGCAATAAGAAAACAATATAATTCTTGCAACACCTCCAATGCAACCTTCCTTCGTTAGGCTTAAGCGAGTCACAAAAACACAACAGTTCTCCCTCTTTCTGCCTGACTCACTCCCTCTTTCCTTCCCTCCCCGACTCACTCCCTCCTTCCCTTCCTTCCTTCCTGCCTGACTCACTCCCTCCGTTCCTGCCCTCCCCGACTCACTCCCTCCGTTCCTGCCCTCCCCGACTCACTCCCTCCATTCCTGCCCTCCCCGACTCACTCCCTCCATTCCTGCCCTCCCCGACTCACTCCCTCCATTCCTGCCCTCCCCGACTCACTCCCTCCTTCTCACTCTCTCCCTTCCTTCCTGACCGTTATCCCCCTAGGTGGTCCCTCCCAATGCTCCCCTCTCTCCCGACATCACCCACCCACCCCACCCCCTCCTACACCATGCGCCTCGAGCCACAGCCATACGGGATTAATACAGTATGGCCCGCCGCCTGGCTTTCTTATCTGGCCAAACACCTGCTTTTCTGGCTCTCATGGACATTTTGGCCGGATAGTGAGATAACTTTATCCGGCCACGATTTTAGCCAGATAAGGGGATTTTCCAGATTGTCAGATTCTGGATAATCGCGTGTCTACAGTATATATATAAGAGTACAGCCAGGCACTGAACCATGGTCAAGGAAGGAGTGTCCAGACAGCATAGATATAAGCACATAAAGGTCACGTTAAGATGCACGCAAAATGGCCAATCAACACACTACAAGGAACACCAAACACTCATCCAAAAACTGAGAACCAGCACCTAGCTGACAGCATCACCAGACCATATACTCTCACCTGTAGAGCATAGACACTATCGTGTCACAATTCAGCTGAGCTGTGTAATAATTCGGGAGCATCGCTAGTGGATTTTGTCCAGAGTTGCGTGAACAGTAGGAGAAGATGAGGCGTAGTGTAAAGGTTGAGGCAGCGCCGCCAATGTAAGAGCAGTACTGAACCAGAGGACAGCACAACAAACACAAAAGTCTGAAGCTGGAGCCACATGACCATGCCGTATCACACCAGCCAAAGAACTGCGGTGTGGATTGCCGGCAAGGAAGTCTATGGCTTCCCCTTCCCCCTCCCGGGGAGGGAGGAGCTGCATAGACGTGCGGCGTGGCTCATGTGACGTCATGCTTGTTTGCTAGTTTTCATTTGGAGAGTTCTGGCCACTCATTTGTCTATTTTCTTTGTTTTTAACCAGAATAGGGGCTTGTTTTGGCACGCTTACCTTTCTGGGTGCCTGTCCCGGTCAATGGCAGATATAGAATGCTCCAAATCACATGCGCATTTCTATAGGCCATTACTCCTCGTGCCTCTCTGAGAGTGGCCAGGTTCTGGCTCGTGGTCCCAGGTAGGTCTATAATTCCACCCACATCAACTGGTGCCAAAGATTGGGATATTCATATCGGCCTGGATAGCTCCGGGGAGCCGAAGGGGCTCCCCGGAGCTATCCAGGGGAGCCCCCCTGGATAGCTCCTCCCCCCCTCCCCTCCCCCCCAGAAAAAAAAGAGACGATATGATCACTACATACAAAACAGTAACATGAATCGACAAAATTGACAAAAAGGAATTCTTGAAACCTGCAACTTCTAGTACAAGTGGTTGTAGATTCAAGCTACAGAAACAAAGGTGCCAGAAAAATATTAGAACTTTCTCCTTTCCAAACAGAGTGGTAGATAGTGGAACAAGATAAGTGAGGTCGTGGAGGCCAAAATCATTAGTAGTTTTAAAGCATTATGACAAAGAGCACTGCACCTGAAAGACAGAACACTACGAGCATAGCTCTCATCCTGTAACTACACTTAGGTAATTACACGCACAGCGTTCAGTACATGTACAGGTATATATACAAAATAATAAGTTCTGTCAGTCCTCAGGAGTGGGGGTGTCTAAATTTGGTTTATTAGCAGTGAAAGGGTTAATAGATACACCGAAACCCCTGTGTATATCTTTGAAAAAGACAAATTAAACCGGCAGAGAAATCCACTTATGGTATATGATTTCAGAAAATCTTTAGGAAACTCATACCTGCGTCTCAGTAATAATCCGTAGTGCTTCTTCCTCAGCCTCCAGAGTTTTCTTTGCTAGTTTCTCTCTAGAAACTTCAATCCGAGCCAAATCTGCTTCAAACTCCATTTTAACCCTGAAAACAGTACATGCAGCATGAAAAACAAGATATTATTCATATATGCCCCTGTTACCTACAGGGGTACCTCGGTTTAAGAGTTTAATCCGTTCCTGGAGACAGCTCGTAACCCGAAAACTTGTAAACCGAAGCTATATTTTCCCATAAGAAATAATGGGAAATGAATTAATCCATTCCTGACTACCCAAAAAACCTCACTTCAAACTAAATTTTATACCTAATTCATCCAAATCTTCACTACAAAAGTATGTTCAAGTTATTACTTACCCTTGCTGATGACTCCTGTTGGTGTATGGAAGATGGTGAGGAGGGGGGAGGAGAGGTGTTACTGTTTGGAAGGGGAGTCCCCTTCCATTATAACATCAGGCAGTGGAGTGCACTCTCTGGCATGTTTTGCCTGCATACCACTAGGACCTGCTTGTGGCTCACTGCTTGCTTGTCTACTAAGAATCTGTCTAAAGACGCTTGTTTTCCCTACATTTTAACACTTGTCTGTAGTAAGACATCACATTGTCATTTAAAAGGTCAATGCAACTGCCTGCTACAGCTTTATCTGGGTGAGTTTTTTCAACAAAACTTTGCAGTTCTTCCCATACTTCACACATTTTCTTAATGAGGAAGGGACATCCTCTACTGCCTCTACTCACAACTATTTTCTTAGGTTGAACCTTACCACTGGCTTTCTTGGGACCCATGGCGAGATGTACAATAACAACTTTTATGCTCAAATGGCCAAAAATCCGACAAAAAACTGTAAATCCTTGTGAAGAATTCAGGCAGATAGTCACTGGGCACGAGGCACTGGTAAACTGAGGCGCAATCGCCGTGCCACCACGTGCTAAGTTGGCCTGTACGCATATCAACAAACTCGTAACCCGATACAACGCTCGTATCCCGATGCAAATTTTCCGAGCAAATCGGGCTCGTAACCCGAAAAACTCGTAAACAGGGACGCTCGTAACCCTTATAATTTGGTTCCACTGTATATATAGGAAGTAACTGCGAGAGCCCATGTATGAGCAAGACGATCTTATGCAGTTCCCTAATACTTCATGTGATGGTATGCGCAGTCTAAGCATTCAGTATTTAGCTACTCCTTCATTTGATGGGATGGGCAGCCAAAGTGTTAAAATACAGTACCATAAAAGCATGACCAAATCCCTATATTTCAATCATATTTTGGAACAAAAGTACTGTAATTGAAAATAACCTCCTTTATTTTATGAAAGCATTTAGTAGTTTCTTCCTCTTCGGGTAAACTCTTAGTATGCCATACGGTGGTCTGTTCCAATTTCTCAATCTCAACATAGTTCTCTCAATGATTAATGCTCTCCTATTCTTTTTCTTTTTTCTTGCCACTTCAGATGATGAGTCACAATAACGTAGCTGAAGATTCTTGATTTAAATCACCCAACCCACAAATCTGAAAATGAAGAATTAGTGATGTTTTGATCCATCCTGGACCATTATCAGTTGTCCAGGATTTACACGACTTGATAATGGTTCTGGATGAACCAAAACATCGTACGTTCTTCATTTTTCAGATTTGTGGGTTGAGTGTCTTCTTGCCTTTTTTTGCCTGTTTCTCCCAAATCGTTGCTTAAATGTATATATTTTGTAAACTCACTTCTTTGCAGGCAAAACTACAGGGTCATTATGTTGACCAAACCACACATTAGAAGATGAAGAGACGAAATATAGTTGTCTCTTCACCTTCTGGTGTGTGGTTTGGTCAACATATCTTCAGCCATGTTATTGTGACTCATCATCCGCATAAGGTTATTATTTCTTATTTTATTTATTATATTATTTATTATTATTTCTAAGCAAAGCCCCTTAAGATTATGGGAATGATGCAGTATGGCCACCTTCAACACACCAGGCTCGTGTGATTATTAAAACATAAGAATTAAGGAAACTGCAGAAGGCCTATTGGCCCCAATGAGGTAGCTCCAATTTATATCCAATTATCTATGCATGGTGACTTAAAGTACTATTCCAATGATTCCGTCTTGGCTTCTTGAAGGAACAGGGAGAGAGAGCATCATAGATCAACTCTCAAGGAAAACCACCCATAACAATGAAAGTGTGTTAGAAAACCGTACTCCCAAGAAATGTTTGAGAGATGTCAAGTGAGCAGACGATTGACAGCAATTTCTTTTTTTAATGTGTTATGTTAGAATTGTCCAAACATTTTTTGGGTGTGTTATGTTTACTAGTGCTCCTTCACTGTTTGTGTGTGGCTTTCCTCAGTTGTGAGTTGATCAATGATTCTCACACCACCTTTGAGGTAAAAACTAAATCTTTGAAATGGTGGTTGTAGCCAATAGCAGTGTAGGCTATTGTATCTCATAAATTAATACTACATCAGTCCCATAAGTTGTGGCAAGCTACTATACACATCCCAGAGAGAAACATTTCCTTACATGCATCATACTGATGAGGATTTTGGAAAAAAGAGTTTGTTCATGAACTTGAACTATATTCTTTGAAGATATAGTGAGCTAAAAATTTGTCTTAAAAAGATTCCATGCTAATTTGTTAACTCTTTTCTAAGATTTTCAATAAACTTTCCCCGCAGCAGTATTTTTTTACCTTCTAGTCTTTCCAAGTCCTGCTTACCTCAAGACCAGTGAAGTGTTACTATAAATGTCGAGACACAACTACTGTTGAATAAAATTTAACTGGGGAAAACTCCTCAGAAATAATAGGGATGGACCTTTGACAAACTACTGGCTTCCTGTCCACAGTGAGGCCACTTAAGATGGAGGGTATGGTCAAAGCACAAACAAGACAGTTCGAAAAAGCTTGTTTTTTATAAAACCATATGTATCCCTAGGTTTTGATGTATTAGGTTAGGCTGTTAGGTTCGGTTAGATTAGTTTAGGTTGGTTTGGCTTAGGTTATGTTAGGGAAAGTTAGGTAAGTTTTAAAATCCATTTGTGGACTGTATTGTGTATTACAGTATGTGATTTGTATCTCTTAAAGCAGAGGTCACCATCCTTTCGGAGCTCAAGGATCACTAAATTCATAATTTTAAATCCCGCTGACCACTAACATGAATACCACGGTCCACCAAATAAGAAATTATAGTTGTTAATGCAAGATATTTGATGCCATTAAATATAACAGTTAAAGAAAATACACAAGTTACATACAATACACAAATAAAATTGTCTTGCAGGCCACTGGTGGTCCGTGGACCACCGTTTGGCAACCGCTGCCTTAGAGATAATGGCACTTGGCTAAATTCAGGTAAATATTATGAACTTTTATATACATACAAATGATAAAAATATGCAATCAAAAGCCAATACACGAGTAATGCCAACATTTGCTTTAACGTTTCATAATTATCAGTAATAGCCATGCTGTTATTTACTAACAAATACTAACCTTTCCTCTCTCAATGCTGCCACTCTTAAATTCTCTTGATGGTTGTATTCCATGAGGTACTGATGTTCGGCCTCTTCTTCTGCACTCTGTTTCAAAAAGGTTATCAAACTAAGAAAGACACCCCTAAGGTCAACACTTGCATCAGAGGAGCTCCAGCATATTTCAACAATCCTAAGTATTGTAGTACAGGTTGATGATAGTGAGTGGTGTCCCAGAGAACATAAAGGTATAGTGCTTTTGAAAAATAGGTGAGATAACAGGAATGTGCTAAGGGAAGTGAAAAATCAAATGAGAAAAAGTTGCCCTAGTGTTTCCAGTGCAGAGAAGAACATTCAAGATGGCCGCCGGCAAGAGGAAAAACAAAACAGAGCTTGATTTTGTGGGATTCAATGAAGAAAGCATTGATATTAGTAGTCTACATAACAAGTTGGTAAAATTAGATACTATAGTGAACTCTCATGTAGAAATAATTAGTAAATTGAAAGAAAGTAATGACCATTTGAATAGCAAAGTTTTATGTCTTGAGGATATAGTGAAAGACTTATGCAAGGATAAAAATCAATTGGAAACAAATTGCAAAGTCATGGAAGAAGAAAATAAACTTAAAAATAGCTTTGGAAGAAGTTAAAGTAAATTTAAACATAAATGACTACAATAGGTTAGGTAAGGAAATTCAACAGGAGAAACAGCTTTTTGTCAGCACAGATGGAGGAAGTTACACAGGAAGTTAACAGTGCAAGAAAGATATGCAACTCACCTATGCACAAGTGGCCAAAAAGAAGGAAAAAATTGAAGAAGCAGTAAAGGAAGCCAAACACTGCAGCAACCAAGATAAAACAAACATTAGGCTGGAAGTGAGAAAGGAATTGGCATCTAACCCGAAGTTGGTGCAAAACACAGTTGATCAGAGCAAATCCCTGATAATTTTTGGTTGCAAAGAAAAGGAGATAACATCTAGGTCAGAAAGAGCTGTAGAAGAAACGAAAGTAGTAGATAAAATTGTTGGCCTCGTAGAAGGTCTTACTACCACAGAGAATGTGTGCGACTACAGGAGAATAGGCAAATACGTAAAAGGGAAAGATCCTCCTTTGAGGATCACCCTAAACGGTGACAAACAATTGGAAAAAGTACTCAGGAATGCCAGAAAATTACAAAGTGATAAGGATGGGAAAGTGTGGTCGTTAAAACGAGATCTTTCAAAAGAAGACAGAGAGAAGCTGAAACTGAACCTCGCCGAGGCAAAAAGTTTAAATGAGAACAGGAATGAAGAAGAAATCAATTCTTTTTTCTACAAAGTGATAGGGGTAGGCACACCAGTAAAGTGGTACATAAAGGCAAACCAACAAAATCAATAGAGAGAAGGGGAGTGAAGAATAAGGAGAGGGGGAACAAGTTCCTGAAGATTGCATACACCAACATAGATGGAGTGAGATCGAAGATACTGGAGTTAAGTGATGTAATACAGCTGCAGACACCAGACATTGTTGCACTCACGGAGACAAAACTTGAAGATGTTATTTTAAATGAGGTCATATTCCCAAGGGGCTACTCAATTTGGAGACGGGACAGAAAAATTAGGAAAGGTGGTGGCGTTGCTGTGCGGGTGAAAGAACACCTAAAGGTGAAAGAAATAATGACTGCCAATCCACAAGAAGTTGACATAATAGCACTAGAGATCTGCCATGAGGATGATAAACTAATGATCATAAATGCATATAGTCCACCGCCAAGCAGCACATGGTCAAAGGAGGAGCTAGATAGTAAACGCGAAGGTCTTATAACAATAATGAGAGAGATTATAGCGAGAGCGGATAACGATAGATCACGACTGTTGATAGTCGGTGACTTCAACTTGAAATCCATAGACTGGGAAGCATATGAAGCTAAAACAGAAGATTTTTGGACCTGTAGATTTGTAGACCTCATCCTGGAAACATTCTTGTATCAACATGTTAAACAAGCTACGAGGATGAGGGAAGGGGACGTTCCCTCCATGCTAGATTTGATATTTACCAGGAAGGAGGAAGAAATATTTGACATTCAGTACCTTCCTCCCTTGGGTAAAAGTGACCATGTCTTTTTGGGAATAAAGTATGCAATGCGTTATAATCTGGAAGAAAATAAGGAGGTTGAAGCAGTTGAAAAACCTGACTTCAGGAGAGGACATTATGGCTACCTTAGAAATTTTTTTGGTGAGTATAATTGGACAGGCTTGATGCTAGAGAAGGAAGTGAATGAGATGTATGTCAAGTTTTGTGAAATATATGATAAAAGGCACAAAAAATTTATACCAAAACAGAGATGCAGAACTAGGAAACAGGATTGGTTCAATAGAAATTAAGAGAGGGCCAGAGACCAAAAGACACAAAAATGGAATCAATACAGGAAGAGGCCAAACCCCCAAACATACCAGCGATACAAAGATGCAAGAAACAACTACACGGCAGTGAGGAGAGAGGCAGAAAGAAAGAGAGATTGAAAGATTGATTGATTGAGATTTTGAAAGAGAGATTGCAGACAAATGTAAAACAGAACCAGGTCTATTCTATAAATTCATAAACAACAAATTGCAGATAAAGAATAATATTCAGAGGTTGAAAATGGGAAATAGATTCATGGAAAATGAAAAGGAAAAGTGTGAAACACTAAACGAAAAGTTCCAAAGTGTGTTTGTACAAAATGAAATCTTTAGGGAACCAGACACAATAAGAATTCCAGGGAACAACATAGAGCACATAGAGGTGTCTAGAGATGAAGTGGAAAAAATGCTCAAGGAGCTAAGTAAGAACAAAGCAGTTGGTCCAGATGGAGTTTCACCATGGGTTCTGAGAGAATGTGCACCTGAGCTCAGCATTCCACTTCAACTGATTTTTCAGGCATCCCTGTGTACAGGAGTTGTAGCTGATGTGTGGAAAAAGGCTAACATAGTTCCAATCTACAAAAGTGGAAACAGGGAAGACCCCCTTAATTATAGACCTGTATCATTGACAAGTGTAATAGTCAAAATATTGGAAAAAATAATTAAAACTAAATGGGTAGAACACCTGGAGGAAAACGATATAATATCAGACAGACAGTATGGTTTTCGATCTGGAAGATCCTGTGTAATGAACTTGCTCAGTTTTTATGATCGAGCCACAGAGATTTTACAGGAAAGAGATGGTTGGGTTGACTGCATCTATCTGGACCTAAAAAAGGCTTTCGACAGAGTTCCCCATAAGAGGTTGTTCTGGAAACTGGAACATATTGGAGGAGTGACAGGTAAGCTACTAACATGGATGAAAAATTTCCTAACTGACAGAAAAATGAGGGCCGTAATCAGAGGCAAGGTATCGGATTGGAGGAATGTTACGAGTGGAGTACCACAGGGTTCAGTTCTTGCACCGGTAATGTTCATTGTCTACATAAATGATCTACCAGTGGGAATACAGAATTACATGAACATGTTTGCTGATGATGCTAAGATAATAGGGAAGATAAGAAACCTAGATGATTGTCATGCCCTTCAAGAAGACCTGGACAAAATAAGTATATGGAGCAACACTTGGCAAACGGAATTTAATGTGAATAAATGCCATGTTGTGGAATTGGAGAACATAGATTCCACACAACCTATAAATTATGTGAGAAATCTTTAAAGAATTCTGACAAAGAAAGGGATCTAGGGGTGGTTCTAGATAGAAAACTGTCACCTGAGGACCACATTAAGAACATTGTGCGAGGAGCCTATGCTACACTTTCTAACCTCAGAATTGCTTTTAAATACATGGATGGAGAAATACTAAAGAAATTGTTCACGACTTTTATTAGACCAAAGTTGGAATATGCAGCGGTTGTATGGTGCCCATATCTTAAGAAGCACATCAACTGGAAAAGGTGCAACGACATGCCACTAAGTGGCTCCCAGAACTGAAGGACAAGAACTACGAGGAGAGGTTAGAGGCATTAAATATGCAAAAACTAGAAGGTAGAAGAAAAAGAGGTGATATGATCACTACGTTCAAAATAGTAACAGGAATCGATAAAATTGATAGGGAAGAATTCCTGAGACCCGGAACTTCAAGAACAAGAGGTCATAGATTTAAACTAACGAAACAAAGCTGCCGGAGAAATATACGAAAATTCACTTTTGTAAATAGAGTGGTAGACGGTTGGAACAAGTTAAGTGAGACGGTGGTGGAGGCCAAAACCGTCAGTAATTTCAAAGCATTATATGACAAAGAGTGCTGGGGAGACGGGACACCACGAGCGTAGCTCTCATCCTGTAACTACACTTAGGTAATTATATAAAACTATGTGTATACTGCACAGTATGTTATTTTTTCTTGCAAATTTAACTACATTACATACAAAACAAAATATATTGCTTTCCTTTATTCTAATATCACTGCAATAAAGCTCCTTTAGTATTATTCAGGTAAAGGTACTTAATTTTCACTTATAATTAATGTTTATAATTTATTTGTATTCTTAATCCACATACTTAACAAAATTTAAGAACCTAAGACCATAAAAATCAGAAAGGGCATACAGCAAAATCTATGTACAGTACTGTAAACAAAACCTCCTGGACACAAACAATACTGGTTGCCGGACCATTATACAGATGAGCTGGTACGCCAGGCACTGGAAATGCACTGTTGGCAAACAGAACATCAAACTAGGATCATTACCTAGCGAGGGAAGGCATACATGCCACAGATAAGGACAAATCATTTACCACAAACCAAGTACAAGGAATCAAAATACACACAAATCAGGACCAGGAGAAATATTAACACAAGCATACAGTGGGTTATGTCAACTCCCATCAAGAGGCCTGACAGTGGAGACCAAGTCCCACACATAAACCAGAAGCAAGGCTGCTCAAGAGGAGCTGATGCACAGAGGAGGAACCCAACCTTCTCAGAGCAGATATCTTGTGATGTAAGGAAAATGCCAGCTAGCCACCAGGGGAAGAGAACCCTGGCAGATCTGGCAGATGGCCAGAGCAAAATACAAGCCAAGGAACATGTAATGTGGGTGATACGAAGCACAACCATAAAAAGCAAATGAAACAAAGCAATGGTCCCTCACAGAACTAAAGTTCCAGTGACAACCAACACAATTTGGCATAAAAAGGGAGTAATGCAAGAGTTCCTGGAACTCTGATGACACCAGACAAATAAGGATGGCCTTTGCCCAAGACCCTACATACCTAGGATGCTACCTGCTGGCAGACAGACACTTCAATGTTATGGTTGCTCACTTCTTGATATAGGTACAATGGGGCCTCGACTTACGATGCTAATCCGTTCCCAGAGACGGATCGTAAGTCAAAATATTGTAAGTCGAAGGGATTTTTCCCATAAGAATTAAAGGGAATTGAATTAATCCGTTCCCCACCCTCCAAAATATTAACATACAAATACATTTTATACTGAATACAATGTTTTTTTCTAACTACAATACAGTACCAAAGTGTCTCTTACCTTTATGGAGGGCTCTTGATGGCGTATGGAAGATGGTGATGAGGGGGGAGGAGGAGAGTTGTTACAGTTTGGAAGGGGAGTCCCCTTACATTATCACATCAGGCAGTGATGTTTTCTCTGGGGTACTCTCTCTCCTACGTTTTGCCCGATTACCACTAGGACCTGGTTGTGGTTCAGTGCTTGCTTGTCTCACTACAAATTTGTCAAGAGACATTTGTTTTTCCCCTCATTTTAACATTTGGCTGTAATGATGCATCACAGTGTCATTGAATAGGTTAAGGCAACGACCTACTGCAGCTTGATTTGGGCGAGTCGTTTCAGCAAAGGTTTGCAATTCTTCCCATGCTGCACACATTTTCTTAATTGTTGAGGCAGAGACATTCTGTACTCTTGTTTCTGCTCTATGGTCATCCTTACATGGGTTTTCATATGTTGAGCCTTACCACTGACTTCCCTGGGACTCATGGCGTGTTATATAATAATTACTTTTATGTTCAAAATGCAAAAAATCACCACAAAAGTGTAATTTCTTAAAGGCACGATCGTCACTAAGCGGGCAGCTGTAGTAAACCGAGGCAGGTCGGCCACGTGACTGGGAACCACGTGCTCAGTCGACCCGAACGTGTACCAACAAATATTGGAAATCGACGACACCATCGGATGTCGAGTCGCATTTTTCGATGAAATTTACATCATAACTCGAAATTATCGTAAGTAGGGGCAATCGTATGTCGAGGTGCCACTGTATTTATAAGAAAAATAATTCCTCATTGTCATTTTTCTGTTAATTTCAATACATTATATAACTAGTGATACATAAATAGATTACAAAATAAATAAATAAATAAATAAGCACTACAGTACCTGACTGCCTTAACTTGAGTTCGGTATATGTTGTATAAGCGTTTCATCTCGATTTCTTCCTCCTCAGGAACAGTTACACGTGGAGGAACCTTGAACATTTTGCTCTTGGCTGGAGGAAGCCATCTTGGTTTTCTCCATCTGAAACATGAAACAACTATCATGAGAAATTTTAAAAAGACTGATATCTTATCATTTAGGTACATTGTGGCTTGCTGAGCTTGAAACCATTGCTCCTTGTTTGTGTTACATCTGACTTTTTGAAGAAAATGTTTGGATCAACATCCTCCAAACTGTTTGGTATGTCAAAATGTTTCAGTGAGATTCAGCCTGTCATGCCTGGTTTGCAGTGGTGTTAGTCCAGTGGCTCTCAACCGTTCCTGGTATCAGAGTTGATCAGTTCTGGAATTATTTTTGTTGCCCAATATTGAACTTTCCCCAAAGAGGCTATATCTTTCTGAAGATGACGTCTCCATGATTGATCAAAATAATGCAAATGAATTTGGATTATTATTTTTCATGGCTGGCACTAAAAATTTATACAAGTGAATAGCTACTTTGTTTTCCGTAAAGTCAAAGGAACGCTTGATTATGCCTAGGGTTTGGCTAGCTTTTTTACTGCCGCTCCCACTTGTTTTACACTTTCCCCTGATAGTTCCCTTCCCCTTCCCACTTGCTGTGCAACTTTCGGTGAATGATGGACTTGACTCCAAGGTCCTTTTCTTCATCAATATGCTGCAAGGTAATGATGTTAATTTGGTAGTTGTGATGTGCATTGATTAGTCTACCATTCCTAACATCAGCGATACAGTCAAAGCATGGTAAACCCAACATCAGTGATCTACTCTCACAGTAAGGTAAACCCAACATCAGTGATCTACTCTCAGCAAGGTAAACCCAACATCAGTGATCTACTCTCAGCAAGGTAAACCCAACATTACTGATCTACTCTCACATCAAGGTAAACCCAACATCAGTGATCTACTCTCACAGCAAGGTAAACTTAGCCCTCCCTCAAATTAACATAACGTAAAAGAGTTAGGAATCCGCTGTGAAAATTGCATCCTGGCTAGTGTCACTTATTAAACTTTGGGGAAGTAAGAACAACTCGATACAGGCTTAAACTAGAGGTGTATATATATATAAACACACACACACACAGGCTTCCTGTCCCCGTCCCTCCCCTGACAGTGAATTATTACCTGACAGTCTGGAGTCCGGCTAAGGCTGCCGTTGCTTGGGCCACAGGGTACCACGACCTCGTCCCACACCCCAACGCCACCACCTTGCTTCCCACAACAGCCACCTGCATCATGAAGTCCACTCCTACTCCCTCTGCGGTTTACCCCTTCCTGAAGAGGTAGGTTGCTGGGTTTACTGGTGGCAACTTTGCTCTGGTTTACACAGCCCGTCTGAGCGCACCCTGCCGAGGTCCGTCGATTCGTACGTCCCTGAGGTAAACAACTACTTCGTACACTCTGGTTCCTTTTCGAATACCATCTTTTGATATAAGTATTTATTATAGTAATAAATTATAATAGTATTATTAATGATAATTATGTGTAAAAATATTTGGGGCAAAAAAATTATGTACAGGCATTAATAATTTTTACAATGACACGATAATATATTCAACCTGTCCTCAGGGAGGAGTTCCGCTCAAGGGAATGGATTGGGAACAATTACAAAATTTGTGCTATTATCTGCTCTCAATTCATGGTTAGGTTAATACTCAGGCTAGGCTCGTTCAAATAGCGGCTGAAACCAATGGTACATTCACCTATTTTAATGCACTGTATTCAAGTTCAAGTTCAAGTATGTTTATTGAGACAAGAAAGAAATACATCTCAAAGGGATAGAGTAGCTTAGGCTATTTCTACCCCCTAATGCACTGTATTATGGATAGCCTGGGCACCCACAAGTTTATAAATAAGTGGAACTGCCTACCCGTTGAAGCTGTTAATGCCAACAAACTTAACTTTTAAAATCCAACTAGAAAAAATCATCAGGGCCAATTGGGGGACCTTTGGCAAGCCGTCGGCTACCTGTCCTCGTCGAGGGCACTATAGTGTTATTGGCCCTCAGGTAAATTCAGGTATTAAAATTTTTTATTTTTCTCAAATATACCACAACTCTTATTCATACTAGAATGTGCTGCCTCCGCACCACTCCAGGACCTGGCAACACTGCAGTACCTCCACCACCAACACTCCTGGACCTGGCAACACTGCAGTACCTCCACCACCAACACTCCTGGACCTGGCAACACTGCAATACCTCTACCACCAACACTCCTGGACCTGGCAACACTGCAGTACCTCCACCACCAGCACTCCTGGACCTGGCAACACTGCAGTACCTCCACCACCAACACTTCTGGACCTGGCAACACTGCAGTACCTCCACCACCAACACTCCTGGACCTGGCAACACTGCAGTACCTCCACCACCAACACTCCTGGACCTGGCAACACTGCAGTACCTCCACCACCAACACTCCTGGACCTGGCAACACTGCAGTACCTCCACCACCAACACTCCTGGACCTGGCAACACTGCAGTACCTCCACCACCAACACTCCTGGACCTGGCAACACTGCAGTACCTCCACCACCAACACTCCTGGACTTGGCAACACTGCAGTACCTCCACCACCAACACTCCTGGACCTGGCAACACTGCAGTACCTCCACCACCAACACTCCTGGACCTGGCAACACTGCAGTACCTCCACCACCAACACTCCTGGACCTGGCAACACTGCAGTACCTCCACCACCAACACTCCTGGACCTGGCAACACTGCAGTACCTCCACCACCAACACTCCTGGACTTGGCAACACTGCAGTACCTCCACCACCAACACTCCTGGACCTGGCAACACTGCAGTACCTCCACCACCAACACTCCTGGACCTGGCAACACTGCAGTACCTCCACCACCAACACTCCTGGACCTGGCAACACTGCAGTACCTCCACCACCAACACTACTGGACCTGGCAACACTGCAGTACCTCCACCACCAACACTCCTGGACCTGGCAACACTGCAGTACCTCCACCACCAACACTCCTGGACCTGGCAACACTGCACCCCCCCTCCCCCACAATCAGGGGGGGGCCTGATAGCTGAGCGGACAGCGCTCTGGACTCGTAATCCTAGGGTCCGGAGATCGATATCCGGCGGTGGCGGAAACAAATGGGCAGTTTCTTTTACCCTGATGCCCCTGTTACCTAGCAGTAAATAGGTACCTGGGAGTTAGACAGCTGTTACAGGCTGCTTTCTGGGTATGTGTGTGTGCGTGAAAAAAATGAGTTAGTAATTAATAACAATTGAGAGGTGTGCCGAAAGATCAGAGCTCATCCCCCGCAAGCACAACTAGGTGAACAGAAGCACTAGTGGTGGTGGCAACACTGCGGGCAGCGCCTCCTCCTCCTCACCTCACCATTGTCGGTCACCCTAGTGGAGGCTAATATTCATAAGAGCATTTTTATGAAGCAATAAATCGTTGTAGATGGCCATTGGTGGTGACAAACGCCTGGCAGCCCCGCGCGGGGAATGGCACGCCTCTAGTGTGCGCTTGACCAATGTCGCCTCCGGCTCTACTACATAAATAAACCCAGGGTATACAAATATATATATATATATATTTGGGGCTCCTAATTGACCGATAACTTACGAGATTCTTAAGTGATCTGGTTGTTATTACAACAACGTTTCTTCAAGGACATTTTTTTATCTAAATATGTTAGAATCTCGATAAAAAAACGTAATCATTCCTATCTACGTTGCAATAACGTTAACAGACGGGTCCCCAACACAGACGGGCCCCAACACAGACCGGCCCCCAACACAGACGGGCACCAACACAGACGGCCTCCAACACAGACGACCCCCAACACAGACAGGCCCCCAACACAGACGGCCACCAACACTGACGGCCCCCAACACTGACGGGCCCCAACACAGACGGGCACCAACACAGACGGCCCCAACACAGACGACCCCCAACACAGACGGACCCCCAACACAGACGGGCACCAACACAGACGGCCCCCAACACAGACGACCCCCAACACAGACGACCCCCAACACAGACGGGCCCCCAACACAGACGGCCCCCAACACAGACGGCCCCCAACACTGACGGGCCCCAACACAGACGGGCACCAACACAGACGGCCCCCAACACAGACGACCCCCAACACAGACTCAGACGGCTCTGAGACTCTGGGCGCCTGGGGTAAATGTGCACTTAAGTTCCTGAAGGAGCTGGGCGAGGAACACAGACGGCCCCCAACACAGTCGACCCCCAACACAGACGGCCCCCAATACAGACGGGCCCCAACACTGACGGGCCCCAACACAGACGGCCTCCAACACAGACGGCCCCCAACACAGACGGCCCCCAACACAGACGGCCCCCAACACAGACGGCCCCAACACAGACGGCCCCCCAACACAGACGGCCCCCAACACAGACGGGCCCCCAACACAGACGGCCCCCAACACAGACGGCCCCCAACACAGACGGGCCCCAACACTGACGTCCCCGGCCACCAACACAGACGGCCCCCAACACAGACGGGCCCCCAACACAGATGGGCCCCTAACACAGACGGCCCCCAACACAGACGGCCCCCCAACACAGACGGCCCCCAACACAGACGGCCCCCAACACAGACGGCCCCAACACAGACGGGCCCCCAACACAGACGGCCCCCAACACAGAGGGCCCCCAACACAGACGGGCCCCCAACACAGACGGCCCCCAACACAGACGGCCCCCAACACAGACGGCCCCCAACATAGACGGGCCCCCAACACAGACGGCCCCCAACACAGACGGGCCTCAACACAGACGGCCCCCAACACAGACGGGCCCCAACACTGACGTCCCCGGCCCCCAACACAGACGGCCCCAACACAGACGGGCCCCAACACAGACGGGCCCCAACACAGACGGGCCCCAACACAGACGGGCCCCCAACACAGATGGGCCCCTAACACAGACGGCCCCCAACACTGACGTCCCCGGCCCCCAACACTGACGTCCCCGGCCCCCAACACAGACGGGCCACCAACACAGACGGGCCCACAAATGCCACCCTTGTGCCACTGACTCTGAAACGTGATCGCTGTCTACGTCGTTAAGGCTAACGAGGATCTTACTGGCGCAGAGGACATCAGCTGGCTGGTGTTGGCGGCGGTGTTGGGGGCGGTGTTGGCGGCGGTGTTAGCGGCAGTGTTGGGGCGGTGTTGGCGGTGGTGATGGCGGCGGTGTTGGCGGCGGTGTTGACGGCGGTGTTGGCGGTGCTGGCGGTGTTGGCGGCGGTGTTGGCGGCGGTGTTGGCGGCGGTGTTGACGGCGGTGTTGGCGGTGGTGATGGCGGCGGTGTTGGCGGTGGTGTTGGCGGCGGTGTTGGCGGTGTTGGCGGCGGTGTTGGCGGCGGTGTTGGCGGCGGTGTTGGCGGCGGTGTTGGCGGCGGTGTTGACGGCGGGTGTTAGCGGCAGTGTTGGGGGCGGTGTTGGCGGTGATGGCGGCGGTGTTGTCGGCGGTGTTGGGGGCGGTGTTGGGGGCGGTGTTGGCGGTGTTGACGGCGGTGTTGGGGGCGGTGTTGGCGGTAATGTCGGTGGTGGTGCTCTGTGGTGGGGCTCTGTGGTGGGGTTCCGTGGTGCAGTGGTAGTGTTGCCACTATACACCCGCTTTCGTTCTGGTTCATTCTTCCTCACACTCATTATTAAACCCCATAATTCGAAGAATACTTTCCGAGGTGTGTGTGTGTGTGTGTGTGTGTGTGTGTGTGTGTGTGTGTGTGTGTGTGTGTGTGTGTGTGTGTGTGTGTGTGTGTGTGTGTGTGTGTGTGTGTGTCTGTCTGTCTCTGTCTGTCTCTGTCTGTCTCTGTCTCTCTGTCTGTCTCTGTGTCTCTCTTTTCTTCTGTGGGTTATAAACCCGTTGAATCACCTGTCGGCCAACCGTAAATGCTGAAACAGCTCGATAAAATCGTCAGGAAAAATGATGGAGCTTTGACAAGCCGCAGGTTTCCTGTCCTCGTCGAAGCTACTAGAGAGATGGTGCTCCTCGGGTAAATTCAGGCAAATTCACAAATACCAGGATCTGGAATTATTTTTATATCCAGCCGGTCGGACAGCACGCGGGACTTGTGATCCTGTGGTCCTGGGTTCGATCCCAGGCGCCGGCGCGAAACAATGGGCAGAGTTTCTTTCACCCTATGCCCCTGTTACCTAGCAGTAAAATAGGTACCTGGGTGTTAGTCAGCTGTCACGGGCTGCTTCCTGGGGATGGAGGCCTGGTCGAGGACCGGGCCGCGGGGACACTAAAGCCCCGAAATCATCTCAAGATAACCTCAAGATAGCACAAGAGTCAGAGGACTGCCTAGATGGCCAACCCTAGGCTGTCCAGGGCGGGACTCTTCGACAAGCCGCCGGTTTACTGTCCCCGTCGAGGCCACTAGAGGAGAATG